AGAAGAAGGAGAAAGCTGCTGGATAAATACTTCTTAATGGGCCAAGGTTGATTAATACATTTGGGCCAAAATAAAACAAGAAATTGAACCATCAATTTTAATCCAATTGGGCTAAGAAAAATATCTCTTATTGGGTTTGAGTTGTTAACTCCATGTTGGACCAAAATTAATTGATCAAGTGGCCGGATATCAATTTAAATCGGGCTGAAAGGAATACAACGCGATAATAAAATTTTTCGCTCGATTCGATTTAATAGAATATGGCCCGAAATAAATAAGTTAAACCGGATTATTTATATTTATAATACACGCAATATATATTTATATAATAAAAGGCATTTAAAACAATTAGACATTTACTCACAAATAAATATTTACTACTACTACTAATAATAATAATAATATATATAAGCAATAATAATGGCAATAATAAACTAATAAATAATCTCAAATAATTCAAATTCAAACGGGGCGTTACAGTCTACCCACCTTACAAAGAATTCCGTCCTCGAAATTTGAAAATAAAACTAGAAAGCGATAAAATACAAAGGAGAACTCAAAACTCAAAGTTCAGATAACGCCTCTTAATACCGTCCTCCCTTTCCCAAGTCGCTCGGTCTCATCGTGTCGGCTCCACAGCACCTTCACCAAGCTCACTGCTCGGTTCCTCAGCTGATGGACCTTCCGGTCCAGGATAGCTACCGGCACCTCCTCATAGGTAAGGTCTCGCTCGACCTGCAGCTCGCCGAAGTCCACCACATGATCAGGATCATGCACATACCTCCGAAGCATCGAGACATGGAACACGTCGTGCACACCCGACAAGTCTGGTGGCAAAGCCAGCCGATACGCTAAGTTCCCGACTCGGTCGAGGATCTCGAACGGCCCAATATAGCGAGGTTTAAGCTTCCTTTTCTTTCTGAAGCGAATCACACCTCGCATGGGTGAAACCTTCAAAAAGACATGATCTCCCACAGCATAAACATGCTCTTGTCTCTCCCGGTCAGCATAGACCTTCTGCCTCTCCTAGGCAGACCTGATGGTCTTCTGGATCTCCTCAACGGTCGTTGCAGTACTCTGGACAAAATCCGGACCTGTAATCCTCTTCTCTCCAACCTCATCCCAATACAAAGGGGTCCGAACCTTACGTCCGTACAAAGCCTCATACGGAACCATCTTGATCGAAGAGTGGTAGCTGTTGTTGTAGGTCAGCTCGACTAGCGGTAGGCAGTGTTCGCCTAAACGGCCGTTTAGACCGTTTACACGCTGTTTAAACGGTAAACGGCGCTATGGTGTGCAGTTTAGCGGATAAACGGTAATTAAACGGGCTAGCCGTGTAGACGGAAAAAAACCGTGTAAATGTGTAAACGAGACGGTATTAAACGGTATTAAACGGCCTAAACGGCCGTTTAGGCCGTTTACACGGTCCGTTTTGGAAATAGAAGCGGTTGGGCGGGAGAACAAAAAATTGATCCGTTTTGTGAGAAATATATATGCGTGCAGTGTGTTACTAACTGTTGTGTTGTAAGATGAACACCTGTGATGTTGACTGTTGTGATGTTATCTGCAATTTGCGTATG